CTGGAAGGAGGCTTTCTGGGGGGCACACAGGTTGGTGAAGGCTGTGGATGCAGAGGGGCTTTGAGGATCCAGAGCTGCCTTGGTGCCAGGCCGAGCGGTTCTGCTTTCTGTGCACTGCAGGCTGCCCTGCCCTGCCTGAAACTCACATCCCACTCATCCCCTGCTCCTGCGGAAGCTAAAATAGGCCCTGCATACATTGATCTCTGATCCCTGTCCTCTCGCCCTTATTTTTTTTTTTTTAAACAGAGTCGTATCTGACTCTTTGTGACCCTGTGGACTGTTGCCTGCCATGCCTCTCTGTCTGTGGGATTCTTCAGGAGATTCCCTTCTCCAGGGAATCTTCTCAACCCAGAGATCGAACCCAGGTCTCCTGCGTTGCAGGCAGATTCTTTACCCTCTGAGCCACCAGGGAAGCCCCCAGATTATTTCTTTGTGGTAAATAAAGCTAAAGTTAGGACTGGGGTGTGAGTCTCTGCTCCAGAGCCTGGAGTTTTGCTCCCAGGAGTATGATAAACCAGGGCCTTCCTCCAGGTTGTCATAGAAAGAACGTTTTTCAGGGAGATCCTTCACCTTCCTTCTAGAATCTGTGTGAAGCACTGGTTCTCAAAGCTGGATTGAACCCCCTGGGAGCCAGTACACAGGCTCCAGGGCAGTGGCCAGGCCTGAACCTGCCTGCCTTCTTTCTCTCAGTTTAATTGAGATGCAGTTGACACACAGCACTGTGTGGATTTAAGGTGGACAGGGTCCTGACCGACTCCCGTGAATTGAGCATCTGCATTTCCAAGCAAGGTCTGTGATGCTGCTGGACAGGGGGCCTCCGGGGTGGCTGTGCTGGAGGGAGGGTCAGGAGCGGGAGCTCAGCCACTGCAGGGGACTGCGGTCTCCTTCCCGGGGTGCTGGTGCTGGTATGATCTGTGCGGTTCTCACTCTGCTGTCTGCGCTCACTGTCTCCTGCCCCCAGCACTGCCTCCATGTGTAAGGACTCAGGTCACTATTCAGCCTGAGCTCTTGGTGTTTGGGTCAGTGAGACCCAGCCTCCCGGACAGGGTTGGGCTGTTGGGATTTCAGGAGCCTGGTGGCGTCCTTCCAGTTGCCTGTTCGGAGAAGCAGGGTGCAGAATGTGGACCCCTGTCTCTGCACAGCAGGGGCCGTGCGTGGACACAGACTGGGATGCGGGTCCAGTCCTGCTCCTGCCAAGGATGAAGGTGGAAGCCCAGAGTGCCTTTTTCTTGCCTAGAAACGGGCCGAAGTGGGAGGTGGGCGCTGAGCCGCCTGGAGGGGCAGGGATGACTCAGAGACAGTTGTTAGAAGCCGGAGGACGTGACTGCAGGAGCGCATCTGGGCTCAGGCCTGCGCCAGGCGACGGGAGTGTGGCCAACAGACACTGAGCAGGGCCCAGAGTCTGGGTTCGCTCTGCTCTCCCACCATGGTCTTGGGCTCTCCATGGGACTCAGCCTCACGGGGCTGCTGTTAAGAGGGTTAAATGAGATGATGCACTCAGCCTGTGGCGAGCAGTGTTGAGAGTGTTCGCGTGTCAGAGGGTGTTCGCCGCTCTTATCATTAGTCCCCGTTCTGGTCTCTTAGTGTTGTGGGGGTCGAGTTTGGAGCCGAGAATCTTCCATTGCTGGGGATCAGGGAGGCTTGTGGTGACAGCGGCCCCTGGAGGATGGGGTTGAGGGAGGAAACAGCAGAGTGGGGCCCAGTGGGCAGGAAGACCCGGAGGGAAGCGGGGCAGGTTCCAGCCCTCCATTAGAAGGAGACGTGTTGTGGGGGCAGAGCCCAGGAGACAGCTGGGGGGGAGGGGAGAGGCGCAGAGCGGAGGCCGCGTTCCCTCAACTCCAGCTCTGCTCTCTGGATCGTGGCCTGTGCCAAGGGGTGCTTCTGCTCCCCTCCTGCATGAGCGCTCCCCCCCCCCCCACCTCCCCGGGAGGATGCAGGACTGGCTGGCACGGCTGGCGATGCCCTTCCGCACCAGGCGTGCGCCGGTCCTCTCTGAGGCTGTACGTGACGCTCCGCGGCTCCGTTTGCTCCATTTGACCCAAGCCCAGGCCGGCGAGGGGGAGGGGCCGTGCACGGGTTGCCGCCCTACCCAAGGCACACACCGAACCCTCAGCCAAGAAACACATCAACTTCCTGGAACTCCGAGCAGCCATCGCAGCTGTCAGCCTTCAGAGCACACGCGAAGCTGTCCCGGTTAGAGGAGACGGTTTTGCCCCGAGCTCTGCAGGCACGGCCTTGGTGCGCAGCCTGCCTGGTTGGGTTTCATCCCAGCCTAGCCAAGACTTCCTGCGTCAGCTCATCCTGAGAGAGATGTGGTTGCTGCTAGTTAAGCCCCATCATAGCCCAGAGCACTTTAGTTTCTGAACTCCTCTAAACTTACACTCATTTAGCCCATCCCGGGTCAGCCCGAACTGGCTGTTCCCACCAGAGGATCGGCCAGCTCTGGTATCTGGACAAGCGGCGTCCTGGCCACTGCCGTAAAGCTCCCCACCGTCTGGTCTCAGGCTTCCGCTGTCATCCTCGGCATTCAAGCCTCCCCAGTCTCTCCTGGGGGCCTCAGGACAGATTGTAGATCTCGCGTCAAGAACCCTGCGGGCTTGCGCAGGCTGGAAGCCTTGCTTCTGGACCATCTTGCCTTTCATCTCTCATCTTTCCTGTGCTATCTTTTTGGACCTGGAGACAGGGTCCTTAATCTCCTCTTTTTGGCTGAGCATAGCAGGGTCCCTTATCTCCACAGGGGCTGGGGCCGGCCCGCCCCTCCCCGCAGCCCCAGCGTGGACCTCTGCCGGCTCCACGCCACCCTGCCTCCCTGGGGTCTGATCTGGACAGAGCCTGTGTGGGGATGCGATCCGGAAATGCAGGCTCCTTCCCCAGAGCCGGGGACCCCCCTGCAGCTTCCTGGATTCCTGTCTCTAGGTATGGTCTCTCCTGGTGGGTCTTTTTTTTTTTCCCCTTTTTTTGAGGCGGTGGTGATAGTAAGAGGTACCTTGAATTTCCTTCCAAGGACTGTCCTGTACTTTTCTACTCTCTGAGTTGTGTGAGTCCCTTAGGCCTGGTGAAACCCAAAACAAACAGGGTTTGTGACTCTTGCTAGTCAGCTTAATCGTACGACATTCTTGATATTCAGATCATTTACATCCAAGATCAGAGGCAGGGACTTCCAGGGTCAAGTCTGTGAGGTTGGCCTTCTCCTCTCCTTGGTTCCCCCCTGTGGATGGAAGAGGTTACTTGGTGGACTTTTAAAGTATCATTTTTAAGTGAGGGGAGGGAGAGGGTCCACATTTTAATGAGAATCTTAGTTATATTCTGGACAGTTTGAACTCTAGAGACTTGTCTCTTTGACATACGTTTTTATTCATTATGTGAGAAACTATAGTTCAAACTACAGTTGGAAATCTTGGCAGTTTCTAGGGGAAAAAAACCACGGAGCTATTCTTCTCCAGATTTTCTTCCTGATAATATTTGCCATTAATAAAAATGAGTAACAATATAGGGAAACTTTGCTTGCTTTTTTTTTTAAACAGTTTGTAATTTCACCTTTAGGCATCTTTAAATTTAGATGGGTGGGGATGATCTGTTTTGTTCGTTTCTGAAACCTCATGGGAATTTTAATAAAATGGTCTTAATTCATATATATCAAGTAAAACCAAGATTCTTACCCTGCTTATTCAGGATGAGTCTCTGGGGTCCCTGATCCTTTTGATACTGAAGGAAAATGTTAGGTGTGGGGTATGTCCTTTTATGTGTAGAAGGGTCCATAATTTTCATCAGCTCCTCAAGGAGGGTCTTGCTCACAAGAAACACAGAGAGAATTACTGGGGTCGTAATAAGGATTCCTCCAAGTTTACCGGGGATGGGGGGAGGTCTCTGGTCTTTCAGGGGCTGTCCCTGGGAGTTATTCATTGCTTCTTTGACAATTTGTTCAAAATCCAAAGGCCTTTTCAAAAGAGAAAGGCACAAAGGAAAAGGATGGAGCCCTGAAGCAGTGAGGTGTGGAGAGAGACGCTGTTGTGGTGTCAGAAATCACTGAGCGTCTGCTTCTGACCGGAAGCACTGCTGGGTTTCCAACCAGCGGGCAGACCGGTCCAGCGGGAGCCTGCTCGCCTTAGGCGCTTAGTAACCGCGTGGACAATGAGAGTGAGATTCAGGGTGATAGCTGGGCGTGTGACGTGCCGGTCAGCTTTTCTGCAGGCGCTGCTCAGGGTTTGATAGAAGCGCATCGAGCAGACTTTTCTGCAGCACTTGTCCATGTGGCAGCCGCTTCCCTCCTTTGCTCTGCCCGGTTCTGTCCTCTTCAGAGGCTGTTTCAGAGACAGAACGTGCTGGCTGGGTGGCTCTGGGAAGGTTACGTTCCAGGTTTCTCTAACTTTCTGGAGGGCCAGACACAGCTTTCTCTTGGATCAGGGATCTGAGACCCCTGGTGGCACCCCCCTGAGCCGACTTTCTCAGACCCTCAAGGGGTGTGTGTAATTTGAGTTTTCTGTGTCTCCCTTACAGAAAAGGAAAGATACACTTTAGGACACTTTCTCTATCCCGCAGGAAAAGGTGTAATCGTGACTCTTTTACGTTAAGGTGCTGTTTAGTTCCACATGTTTTCCTTTCAGTTCTCTTCTCTTCTCCTCCTGTTTCTGACAGCACTGAGTGCTTGCTGTCTTTTCTTCTCCACCTTGAAACTGGCTGTCCATCCTCACCTTCTGCCAGCGTGCCAGTAAGGTGCCCAGAGCTCCCCTGGGAGCCATTCCCATGTGGTGTTGCCCGCAACATTGTTAGAGTGTGCTTTCGGGGCTCCTTTTCTCCAGGTCACACTTGATTCCAGTCGCTCTTGCTCATGTGGAGTTGACCTCATTTCTGGAAGCTTGCTTAGAAACACGGGGAGAGGAGGGGGATGCCTTGTTCCTTAGCTGGTGGCTCCCAGTGGTGCAAGTGCAGAACATGATGCAGGGCCAGGACCCTCTCTGGCGTGGACCCCCTCTTCATGCCCCTGCTTCTTGTTTCTGTAGGTTGCTGCACTCTGCTCCAGAGGCGGTGGCTTTGAGGCGTGACCCTGCCCACCCTCCGCCTTGCCAGCACCAGCTCCTCAGCAAGGAGGGCCCACTTGAGAAGACGAAGAAGACAGGTCAGTCTAACTTGATTGACTTTCCTTGAGTCACAGTAACTTGGAGTGTTGTCTTCCTTCACGACCCCATGTCCCCTTGGAGTGGTCCACCCTCTGCTTGGGGTCCTCCTGAGGCTTTGATGGAAAACCACAGAGAAACTCTCACTGTGGACTGCGGGTTTTCCCCGGGCTAGTGGCCTGGGGCGTGGGATGAGAAGTCTTGGGAAGGGTGCTGGGACCCTGGCTCACGGGAAGCCACGCTGCAGGCACCCCTGTTCCCTGTTTCTCCTTTGCCACCCCCAGATTTGGACTCTGCGTTCAAAGCTAGAACGCCAGTCCAGTCCACTTGGCCATGTCATAGAGATTTCCTTTCATGTCTGTGACTTGGGAATCTCATATGGGTTTCCAGTCCTCTCTGGTCCCAGATAAAGGAGATGATACTGGAATGGGGCCAGTGGTTTTTATTTTTTTTATTATGGCTATTATTATTATTTTTATTTGCAGTAATAGAGCAGATGTATAGATTGGTGTCAGGAGCAGAGAATGAAAATATTAGGACTGTAAATATTTATAAAGAAAAATGTGCTTTGTAAATGGACCTTAAACTGTTAATCCTGCCTTTCATCCCCTGAGACTGAGAATCAGAAGGTGTAGGTTGGTCAGTTGGGTCATTGCTCTAGTGTGGTCCAGGGTCAGGCGTGGGCAGGGAGGACTGAGTAGTTTTGGCTGCTGGCTTCTGGTTTAATGAGTGGTAAATGCACCTTAATATTAAGGTGGATTTGTTTTTTCTAGCTGGGAACAATGAGCTACATTGTTTTACACCAGGTCCCTTCCATTCTTCCTGTTCCATCCTCCCCAAAGGAGAAGTCACACTTAAGACACAAGCGCACACCTGGAGGAAAATCTTAGAAAAGATTTTCTATGCAGGCTGGCTTGGGTGCTTCTGAAAGAGCTGCCAAGGATGAGTTCACTGACCGTTTTCTTTTCGAACAGTGTAACTTGGAGTTTCATTTTGTTAATTGCACTTTCCGATCAGAGATGAGAAGAGTCTCTACTTTTTAAAAAAATATTACCATTTACTTACACTTGAACTAGGAAAAGGAAGTAAATGTCGGTGATCTCAGCGTCATCACTGGGCAGTGTCACACTTCACACTTTATCCCAAAGGAGGAAATAAATTTAGCAAATGTCTTCCTGTCCAGACAAAGTGGGAAACAGCAAATTTGCCTGACTTTTCTCATTTTCCAGTTGGGATGTAAGCGCTTGCAACTTTCAGTCCGTAGGTTGGTGAGCAGTTGTAACTGTTGCTGGGTTTTCTATACTTAGGGCATTTACGTAGTTTTCAGGGAAGGTTTCTTTGACATCTTAGTGATTGTGACAGAAATTCTTACCAGCACTTTAACTCTTCTTGGTGAATATATTTTCATTAATTTTCTTGTTGACTGTTTCCCTTCTGTCCTGTTTTTTTTCCCTACTCAGTGAAAGATTTAGACCATGTTGTTTGTAACTTCTAATTTTATGTTATCTAAAAGGTGCTTGCTTAAATCTATTCCTGGTCTGAAAAACTGTACATTTTTCTTCTCTAAGTGCCATAATAGGACAAAAGCAAGATCTATCTTGAAACTATCCCACTATAAATGGTAGAAAGGTTGAGATAATTTTTACTGACATAATATAATTACAGTAAAGATTTCTAGTCATTTATGATGTGATGTATATTAAAACTATGGTGGGGGCCGGGGGGACTTCCCTGGTGGTCCAGTGGCTGAGACTTCGCACTTACAATGTGAGGAACCTGAGTTCAATCCCGGGTCCGGGAATTAGATCCCACGTGCTGCAGCTCAGCACAGCCAAATAAATAAGTATTTTAAAAAACAAAGCTCTGGGCGATATATATTTAAAAGAGCGAGAGGGTTTTGGTATAGAAGGTGCACCTTACATGATTCAAGGAAATAATTGTACACTGACTAGATTACAATTCTAGGGAACTGATGATACTTTCGTTAGAAATCCTTTAAGAAAGAAAATGAGGTATGTGCGTGTATACTTCCCTGTGTGTACATGTGTTGAATGTTTTTTCCTAGAGAGGAATTTCCCAAGTGAACTTTCAAAGACAGTCAAAATGGGAAGTTTTGAAGCACAGTTTTTAATAAGTTTAAATGGTCTTCCGTATGGGAGAAGCTTCATGGAAAGACAACAGCTTTGGGGTTGAGGGGCTTGTTTTGTTTTTTTGTTTGTTTTAATTTTGGACTGAGGTTTCCTTTCCCTCATTTAATGTGGAAGATATAAGGGTGAGGCTGGATCAGTGGTCTTAACAGTTGTGTTTTTGGCAGTTAGTCCTTTTACTTAGCATTTGGAAAACCATTAGGTTCATATCTTCAAGATGTCTGGGGCTTCCCAGGTGGCGCTGGTGGTAAAGAACCCGCCTGCCAATGCAGGAGACACAAGAGGTGTGGGTTCCATTCCTGGGTCAGGAAGCTCCCCTGGATTAGGGCACAACAGCCCACTCCAGTGTTCCTGCCTGGAGGGTCCCAGGGACAGAGGAGCCTAGGGCGCCATAGTCCACGGGGTCAGAAAGAGTCGGCACAACTGAAGCAACTTAGCACGTACACACGCATGCTCTTCAAAGTGTCTACTAACAAGGAAGGCAGATTTTGTCTCTTGACAAGGAGCATGCTGTTGCTGAGGCTCTCTTTGGCTCTTGGGTAAGGTTTTCGCTTGGGGCTTCTCACCTGATGGTCCATCAGTCGTGTGAAGCCATCAGATGGCGTCGCCAGTCGTGTCCCCAGCCTCTCCTGTTCTGTTGCCGGACACGTTTGCGGCTGCTCCAGGAGCTCCCATTTGTCACATCCTACCTGGGCCACTTCTCATAGAAGTGGAAGGGGAACCACAGGAAATCATGCTCTCTCCAGGGCTGCTCCTGAGTACTCACTTTGCTCCTGAGATAATGAGCTTGATCCCTGAGGCGGCTGTGGACTTGCGGGATGTAATGCACGCTGGAGGATAGCAGGGTGCGTGGGCAGAGAGAGCCCTCCCAGATGGAAGAGGGAAACGGGTTACCTGGAGACTTAACGTCCTATAGCCAGTAATACTTGTGTGAGAGAAGCATGGCTAGAAGAGGCCTGGAGAGGTGAAGCTGGGTGCGTCCGGGGGCTGTAGTGTTCCCTGCAGTCATCCTGCCATATTACCAGGTTTTTTTAAGGTCTGACCTGTTCCCTCCTAGACACTGAGTCTTTAGCGGATTCCTTCACTGCCTTATCTTTGGTCAGTTTTAGGAGGAGGCGGGACATGGGTCAAGTAGGAGTCTGAGACTCCTTGAGTCTGAGACAAGGGTAGAGTGTGAAATAAAGTTCGCTGTTTGTGGACAAATGTGAGCTTAGAAAATAAAATACCACAGAATCGTTTTGGCTGTTGGGAGAGAGGGCGACGACGCTGTAGGGAACATCAGTTAAGGGTGAAAAACAACCGCAGAATGTGGTTTTGGAAGAAAAAGAAGACTCAGCCATCTCCTCCTATACGGTCCCCTGGAGTCCGGTGAGTGCAGTAATCTGAGATTACAGCACACATGGTTTCTGTTTTTCCTTCTGAGCCTTTCTGCCTTTGCTTCCCTTCCAGTGTCAACGAGGGACACGGAGAGAAGAGAAAAAGGAGCCCCCCAGCCTCGCTGCCTCCTCCGTGTGCGCGACCCCTGCAGCAGATGACGTGCTCATAGTGCATCAGCTGGGGCAGATGATGGAGGTAGCTGGCAGTGCGGGCTGGGTTTTCTTCCTTCCATTTTCTGGGGGGAGGTATATTACATCCTCATATGTTTTAAGCAGCAGCCATTTATGCTGATTGAAATTTGGTTGTAACGTTGGGTGGTAGTGTGGCTTCTCAGTTGTCTTATACAATTTGGACTCCCCCATTAAAATCAGGTACCGCAGCCTGGGGTTAGGTGAAAGCCAAGGTTTCTCATCTTCCGTTGTAGGGTCTAGAACGTGCGCATAGTAGTGAGTAGGCTGTTAAGAGGCCGCCGGCCAGATGGGCCCTCCCGGCCTTCCTCGCTGTTGGAGCCTCTCCCACTCTGCCTGGGGAAAGGTTAGCAGAGGAAGAGGGTCTGCTTGGGGTCACCCTGTCAGTGGCCCATGCTCAGAAAGGAAGTGAGGCAAGCAGTTTAGTGAGACAGCACTTGGCTGAGATGAAAGCTTCGATCATGTGGGCACGCGCATCAGCTAGAACTGAAGGGGAGTTTTAACCTGGCTGCAGTGGGGGTAGCCATGGCCCCTGCCACCTGCCTGACAGACACCTCAGCTGCCCAGTGATCACATCAGCAGTTTCTCACTTTCAGTTCTGTGGCCGAGGCTTTCTAGAAGCTTAAACCCTTGTCCCAATGACGTCAAGCTCGCCCATTGGCCTGGAGGGTTCAGACTTGTCTTCCATCAACACCATGATGTCAGCAGTCATGAGTGTGGGGAAGGTCGCCGAGAATGGTGGGAGCCCCCAGAGCATCAAGTCCCCCACAAAGCCTCCGGGACCAAATCGGATCGGCCGAAGGAACCAGGTAAGCGTCTGTGCGCCTGCGGTGGCTTCCATGAGAGCACTGGGGGCGGGATGTCCCCTTGCACCCCAGCTCCCTGAGCCAGAACCATGGACCTGGTCTGAACAGCACAGACACACCCAGAGGCGGTGATCCCTTTTCAGGTGCTAATTGCTTGTAGCTTAGGTTGGTTTCCATTCGCAAAGAAGGTTTTCTGTGCTGAGGTCTCAGTGTTGGTGAGAGCACCCCTACCTGACCCCCCCTCCCCTGCATGCTGTGGCCTTGTGACTTGATTTGAACCCAAGCTTTCTTGACTTAGATGGTAAAGAATCTGCCTGCAATGCAGGACACCCGGGTTTGATCCCTGGGTCGGGAAGATCCCCTGGAGAAGGGAATAGCAACCCACTCCAGTATTGTTGCCTGGGAAATCCCACAAACAGAGGAACTTAGTGAGCTACAGTCCATAGTTGGACATGACTGAGCCACATACACACGCTTTCTTCATGGTACGGGCGGAGCAGAGAGCTCAGCTTACTCCTCTCCTGTGACATGGTTCCTTCTTCACTCACACAGCTGGTTAATTGGTTTTACGATGCCGCCTCCTTGAGTTTTTAAGCGTCGGCAGCACAGGTAGCCAGTGAGTCCTCACTCTGCTGGACTGCTCCCCAGCTCCCCAGCCTTGACAAGGCACGAAACTGGGTGCCTGAGGATCCCCTCGGGACGCCTTGTGTTTCTCGAGGGTTTTCAGAGATCAGGGTGGTGCGCAGGGGCATAGGACGCCAGGGATGTTATGAAAGGCCGTGTCTCCTCCGCTGGGAAATAAGATGAGTCTTAATGTCCACACGGCGCGCTTGAGCAGGTGTCGCTGTCCTGCAGCAGCGTCCCCGACGGCGCCGGAGCAGTGAGGTGGCCGGCCCCTCTCTGCTCTGCGTCCACATGGTGTCAGCGTTCAATGCGTGGCTCCCCTGACTCGGTGGGGTCCCATCACACCCGTGGGAGAAGGCAGCCTTCTGACTTTGTCTGGAGACCGGAGATGGGCAGGAAGGTAAACCTGTTGGACTTTTGTGAGTTAGTTTTCTTTTCTATTAATGATCCCAAAGTGACTGACCTTATGCAGAATTGTCTGTGCACAGTTCTTCCAGCCCAGCATGATGGATTCATGTGAATTTGTAGAAGTCCAGCATGAGTTAGGGCCCTGATACAAGGTGCCCTCCAGAAAAAGTTGTCCCAGCCTTACATCCCTCCAGCAACCGAGGAGGGTCTGTTTCTCCGCCTCTTCCTCAAGGCTGAAGACTCGGAGTTAAATGATGCTGTCGGGTGGGGGCATTGATACTTTTTCTCTCTTTTTTTCCTTTTGTCCGTGTGCTTCTCTTCCTGTGGGTACCTGAGAAAATTCTCAGCCTGTTTGACTGTGGCCTGAGCCAAGAAGGAGCACTGGCTCTGGGAGGAAAAGGTTTATTTCCACTCTCACGTGACTGTCTGTCCATCCATCTATCCATCCATCCCCCCATTTCACAGTGTTCCCCCACGTCGTCCTTCCAGCCAGGTACTGTGTGCCAGGTGCCGAGCTCCTTCTGAGAGAGCCCAGCACGGCCCAGCAGAGGCAGAGCTGGCCCCAGTCCAGGCTCGGGTCCCATCCCGGGGTTCAGAGAGTAGGCAGAGCCGTGGAGGGACCCATGGCCTTCCGTCTGCACGTGGGACGTCAAGGGGCCTCCACAAGGCTGCCTGGGCCATTGGTCACCCGCCTCCTGTGTCCCCGGGGGTTCCTCAGGGCACCGGCTTAGGCTTTTGAAAGGAGGTCTGGGTGAGAGGCAGGATGGGGAGGATAGCGCGTTAGAAAATCCCGGCGTCGTCCCTACCAGGACGGACGGGAGGGCTGGAGGGTGCCCTGAGGAGCAGAGTTCCAGGGCAGATTAGCCACTGCCGGAAGCCAGCAAGGGTGCCAGATTGTTTCATTATGGAATGGTTAGTTATCACATTAGCTGCTAATTTTATCTGTCAGCTCAGGAAGCAAGCTCCCTCTACCAGCACAGCCGCGGTCACTGGATTTGGGCCTTCCTCTTCTGTTTGCTTTGTTTTCAAAATTGAGTCTGAGTTTGGAGACTCCTTCTCCCAGACCATCATGGATGTCACGATTCCGTGCTGAGGTCTGCAGCGTACCGCTGCCCGCCTCCGAGAGGGGTCGGGCTACAGTTCACAGTAGACCCCGGAGTCACTCCCTTTAGTCCCGGGGGCCACTCAGCGCCTCTGGTGTCTGCCTTGAGGGGCTCACAGGGTGAATTTTTTTTTTTTTTCTTAAGGAATTTTCATCCTCAGGAGGCTGGCTTCCTGGAGGCCTGGCTTTTTACATTTATATCCATCGTCTTCCAATGAATCTCTTTAAAAAAAAATTCTTTTTGACCTGCAGGGGGCACGGGTCCCACCCCTGGTGAGGTTCTGCATGCCATGCAGGGCAACCAAAAAAAAAAAAAAACCCACACTTAAAAATACATGTATTTGTTTATTTGGCCGTGCTGGATCTTAGTGGTGGCACGAGAGACCTTTTATCTTTGTTGTAGTACGTGGGATCTAGTTCCCGGACCAAGGATGGCACCCAGGCCCCTGTGCTGGGAGTGTGGAGTCAGACCACCAGGGAAGCCCCCAGAACTGCTTTTTAACACACATTATCGCTAATCTAATGATTTAATAAGAACACCCCAGAGGCCAAGTCTGGGCCCGCCCCGAGGCATCCCTCAGTGACAGGCAGGTGCCCTTGCTGTGTTGTTCGGCTTTCTGTCTGGAGAACACACCTGCCTCTGGAGCGGGGTGGAGGTGGATGGTGGCTGAGTGAGGCTGCAGGGTTGGGTTTGTTTGTGTGTTTGTTTTTTAACTATCTCTGGGTTAATATACTTCCTTAAAATTCATATCTATGGGTTTTTTTTTTTTTTAATATGAGAGTGAAAAAATGTGTAGCATACTTATTTCTCAGACCCAAGGAGAGAAGGTGTGTGTCACTTACCGTGGGGCTTGTTCACCTCTGAGGAGTGAGGGGGCCTCCCGTAGGAGCCGAGGACTAGATAGATCCCTTTGTGTGTTCACTCCACCCCGCACGGTGCCCGGTGCCATTTGTCTCTATGGTTTTCAGGGTGGCTTTTATTTTATTTTCATCATCTCTCATGAACCAGCCACAAGGGTGTTTGCTCTATGTGCGTTGGGGTCGATCCTTTCTGGGTCAGACTTGTGTAGCCTAGTGGTTAGGGCATGGGCTGTGAGCAGCTGGCCTGAGTGTTAATCCTGGCTCTGGTTTGGGGTGGGTTACTTGCCTCTCTGGTACCCCAGTTTCCTCATCCCTAAAATGGGATCTATAACTGGCCATCTCTTAATGGTTGTGTGAAAAAAAAAACACCATTTCACGTGTGCAGAGTCTAGCACATAGTAACTGTTTAATACTTGGGATTATTCACAGGGAACAGAGAGTCAGTCGAATGAACAACTAAAAAGAGGGTGGTTGAAAATGCCTGAGGGTCCAGCCCCACAGCTGGCTCCCTCCCTTCCTCACGCTTAGTCACCATTTATGAGCAGTGGTGGGCAGGTGCTCCAGTCAGTAAGGGGTCCCACTGATGGCCCCTGGGCACCCAGGGGGGCACTGGGGCCTTGCACCCTCAGGAGGGTGGGTTTTTGTCGTGAGAACTCTACCCCCTTTCGTGTATCTTAGGGGCTCAAGACCAGGCAGAAATAGGTGGCTGGAGCCTGAGTCAGACCTGGGCAGGAGTACAGCCCTTCTCTGGCGCGGCTGTGACTTGATCTTAATTTTTCACCGTCCCCGATGACTCACTAAGTGGTGCCTAACGAGAACACTGCTGTTTATCGGGCACTTAGTCCTGGGCCGAGCACTGTTCTCATGCCTTCTGTGTGCTGTTCGATTTACTCCCCGTCGCAGCGTGATGCTGTGGTTTTCCCCATTTTATAAACGAGGAAACCGAGGCAGACAGGCTCACACCCAGCCAGGCTCCAGAGCCCATGCTCTCAGCCGCTCTGTTGCCGCCGCTTGTGAGACACAGGTGTGTGTAACACATGTGTGTTACACGTGAGAGGCACCAGTTCACTGTGGGTTGAAGTGGATGCTTTTATCCTCTCTTTTCAGGAGACGAAAGAGGAGAAGTCTTCCTACAACTGCCCCCTGTGCGAGAAGGTCTGCACTACCCAGCACCAGTTAACCATGCACATTCGCCAGGTCTGCCGCTGCTTTTGTTTCAGATAGCTCTTCGTTAAGAGGGGAGGTGACTTTATCTTAACAGATGAATTGTGCCTGTTTAATTTAGATGTAATATTCTAAGAATTTTGAGGAGCGGTTATGAAACAGTTTTCGTGTGTCCATGTTAACTGTCACAGAGTCCCAGGTCACACAGAATACCTTTTCAGAATTTAGCAAATATCTAGTTAACCAATCACAAATAACAGACTTTTCATCATACATGAACCAAATCTCCTCACAGCATGGTGAGATTGTAGATGTAGACCCCGATTCTTTGCGCTGCTGTAAACTTTCATCATGCAGCAGGGAATTCCCTTGATTTGGGATCTCTTTTGGCTTTTCTTCTTTATTAGGAGATTTATCCTTCTCCCTTGCCTGCTGTGGATGGTTCATGAGATAGTATTGAATCTAGAAGGACTGACAATAGTCAAATCATAACATGCTGCTGAATAATAGCATCATTTAGTAACTTGGGTTTGGACAGAAATCTTCCTTCTTAACATATTTCAGAGGCCAGAACTCAACCAGGCAGGTTGCAGTTCTCTTTCTCTGATAGCTAGACTGAGTCATCAAACTGGAACTCATGTGAGGTCCGTCCTTCATGTTTGCCTCATAGTTGAGTCTTTCTGCCCATGTTAGTTTTTGTGGTCTGTTCATCTATTATATGTGTCTGAGAAAGACCTGCAGAGACCCCGCCTTTGTTTTGAGCCTTGTGGAGGAAGAACTCGTCAATACTGGGACACGGAAAGAGAAGAGCGAACAAAATATTTGTTTGTCTGGGGTCCCGGCAGATTTTGACATTTAGGAAGGCATTTAAAATGAAACAAACAAAAAAAAAATAGCGGAGAAACATTGCTGACTTTTTAATGCATATATATATGTATGTGTGTTTATATATGCGTGTATGTATAAAGCCCTGAATTTACACCTCCCGGTCGCCAAGTTTGGACCTGCCCTCCTCAGTGATGCTGTGATTCTTGCTCTCCGCAGCACAACACGGACACTGGCGGGGCCGACCACTCGTGCAGCATCTGCGGGAAGTCCCTGAGCTCGGCCAGCTCCCTGGACCGCCACATGCTGGTGCACTCCGGGGAGAGGCCCTACAAGTGCACCGTGTGCGGACAGTCTTTCACCACCAACGGGAACATGCACAGGTAGGTGCGGGCGGCTTTCACCTGCTGCCTCGAGGTGAGGTTGACCAAAAGCAGAGTGGCCTCCCAGGCATCTTCTCAAAGGCTGGAGGAGGTCTGTTCCTGTGCGGAAGAGCCAGAGCCGATTTCGTCTGCCTGCCGCGTACGGTCTCCAATGTGTCAGAGGTGTCTGCTCACGGAGCCAGCAGGACCTGGGGCTTGGTCTCTGGCTGATTGGGGAATCCTCAGGGTGACCCTTGGCCAGTTGGGAGTTTCTTTACTGAGATACCGGAGGTGGGCAGCTTATCAGATGCAGAGAAACCCTAGAGGATTAGCATAGTAACCCGTGCCTTTTTAAAACTATTTGCATATGCCTACAGATTCCCTGCAGGGCGAAACATTTCTGGAGCATCAAATAAATAGTTAAGTGGGCTGGAGAGCTTCAGGATAAGATAGGATAAAATGAAGGGAAAAATCTGATAAATGTCAGGAATTTACTTCCTGAGGGAGAAGGAGGCTGGCTCAGAAGTGGGAGAAAGCTCAGTGGTGGGCATATTAAAAATGTTGTGGGAGGAACCAATGGAAAATATACTTAATAGAAAGAGTACTTACGATTTAGGGGTCAGAACAAACTTGTCTTTTTTTTTTACACAAATATTTTAGGAACATTGGAAATCTAGGAAAACATTTTAAAGGGACCCACATTTCACCTTCTCAAAAAATCAGGCTGTTTTACTTTTCCTTATTCCATTTTAAGCATTATGTTGATTTCTTTTAAAAAGTTGGCTAACATTTTTTTACATATTTATTTCAAAAGAAAAGTTTACGTAGTTGTGACATTGGTATTTTATCATATATAAATACTCAAATGAGATGATCCCATTTATTCTATCTAAAATTATGATCCACTGATGGTGTACTTGAGACACATTGTTATAGTGGTCAATTTATGGATTTTTGGAATTAGGTCCTGATTTCAAATCTCACCTCTGCCACTTATAAGTTTTCCGTCCTTGAGCAAGTTGCATAACCTTTGTACCTGACTTTGCTCCTCTTGAAATTGAGATTTTTGATAGTATTCACTTTGCTGGACTAGGGTGGGCATTAGGAGATAATGAGTTTAGCACATGGTTGGCAGGCAACCAATGTTACTTATTATTGTTATTTGCATTTCTCAGTAATGCTGCAATAATTTGAATCCTATGGATGTCTCAGTCTGAACTCCTCGAAGCAGGATAGAATATGATGCTGTGAAATGTATCAGTATATTAAAGGATTTTGATGAAGGGTGTTACCTTTATATATATTATACATATATATATATAATTTCCTATTCTTTTTGCTCCTTGTCTCCTAGTTATGTTTATTTTATTTTGTTTATTTTAATTTTTTAGCTCCTGGGCTTCCCAAGTGGCTCAGTGGTAAAGAATCTGCCTGCCAGGCAGGAGACACAGGGTCGATCCCTAGGTCAGGAAGATCCCCTAGAGAAGGAAATAGCAATCCACTCCAATATTCTTGCCCGGGAAATCCCATGGACAGAGGAGCCTGGCGGGCTACAGTCAGTCCATGGGGTCACAAAGAAGTCAGACATGACTTAGAGGTTAAACAACAATAATTCTTAGCTTTAGCTTTTTGCTTCCACATCGGCCTGTTAATATCGTTTTGCCTTCTGTGTGCCATTTGTTTTGTTTTGCTTGCTCCCTTTTATTCCTCCTGCTTAAAAAAAAAAAAAAAATTCTTTGTTCTTCTGTATTTGAGCCCTCAAAATCTAATCCTGGAAGTATTACCTTCTTGGGTGGTTTCCTCGCTTTCTCCTACCCCATTTTAGGGCATTTTCATTGTCCCAGAAGGAAACCCTCACCCATTTGCAGTTGCTTCTCCTTACTTCCCACCCTCGAGCCCTGGGAAGACTCTCATCTACTCTTCCCCTGTGCATTCGCCTTCTGTGGACTTATGGAATGTGCGGGCTTTCGTGCTTTTCTAACCAACTTCTTTCACTTAGCTTTAATGCTTTCAACATTCATCAACGTTGTAGCATCTTTTTTCTTGTCATGTACCAATCCATTGTAGGGATGTACCACATTTTATTCACCTCTTCATCAGTCAGCAGACATTTGAGTTGTTCTGTTTTTTGGCCCTTACGAGTAATGCTGCTGTGAACATTCTTGTACAGGTTTTATGTGAACCTGTGTTTCCATTTCCCCTGGGTAGCCACTGAGGAGGGGGATTGCTGGGCCATGTTTAACGTTTTGAGAAGTAGCCACGCTGTTTCCCAGAGGAGCTGCATCATTTCACACTCCCACCAGCAGTGTGAGAGGACTGCAGCCTTACACACTCTCGCCCACACTTGTTACTGTCAGTCTTCTTCATGACAGCCACCCCACCAGGGATGAAGTGCAATCCCATGAGTCCATAATTTTAATGTTGTCACATTTAAGTCTACACTTCATTTTAAGTTGGCATTTGTGTATAGTGTAGGGAAGGAATCCAGGTTCAGTCTTTTGTACTGTTTAAAAACTTTTCTTTATCCATCGAATTGTCTTAGCACCTTTATCAATATTCAATGGCCTGTAAACATAAGGATTTATCTCTGTGCTGTCAGTTCTCTTCCATTGATCTGTGTATCTGTCCCAAGGCCTAACATGGTATTGATTACTGTAGCTTTGGGTAAGTTTTGAAATTGGGAGATGTGAATCTTTGAACTTAGTTCTTTCCCTAGATTGTTTTGGATATTCCAGGTTGCTTGCATTTCTTTGAGGTAATTACAAGCCACATAGAGTGAGTTGTGAAATATTCCATCCTCCTCTCTGTTTTAGCAGAGTTTGTGAAGGGTTGATATTAATTCCTTTCGTTTAAATATGTGGTAGAACTCATCAGCAAAGCCATCTGGGCTTTTCTTTCTGAGAAGTTTTTAAAGGATTAACTCAGTTTCTTTACTTGTGATAGGTCTGTTCACATTTTCTGTTTGTTCTTGGAGTCAGTTTCAGTAGTTCCGTCTTTCGTAGGAATTTAGCCATCTCATCGAAGTTATCTGATTGGTTGGCATACAGCTGTTCTTAGTGTCCCCTTGCAATCCTCTTTATTCTGTAAGGTCAGTAATGTCTCCTCTTTCCTTCCTGATGTTAGTCATTTGAGTCTTCTCAGTTTTTTCCCTTAATCAAATCTAGCTGAACATTTAACAATTTTACTGGTCATCTCTTCTTTAGTAGACCAAAATTTTCTGTCACTGAAGTGTTCTGAAGTATATACCGTGATGTTTAAAAGAAACACTTGTTAAAGCAAGTTTTCATCTTCTGGGATATACTTTTTAAAACTTCCATCCCCTGTAGTTATGACTGCATGTGCCAGGTCTCTAGAAGTTAGTGCGTTAAGCTGAACCAACTTGATTGGAGTCGCTGTCCATACATAGGGCTTGTTTTCCAAAGAAAAATATTGTTTAGAGTAGCAAACTTATAAGCCTGCTCAGGCATGTTGTAAAGCCGCTGGAAAAGTAACTTGGAGCAAGTTTTGTGAATGGAAATGTAGTGCTCAAGTCACATTCTGCTTTAAAAAGTTGTAACAAATACAGATGACTTAAAAAATAAATAAATTAATTAATTAAAAAAAAACAAAGAAACAGGGGCTTCCCAGGTGGCGCTAGTGGTAAAGAATCCGACTGCCAACACAGCAGACATAAGTGACCCGGGTTCGATCACTGGGTCGGGAAGATCCCCTGGAGAAGGAAATGGCAATCCAGTCCAGTATTCTTGCCTGGAGAATCCCATGGACCGAGGAGCCTGGCGGGCTACAGTCCATGGGTTGCAAAGAGTCGGACGCTAGTGAAGCAGCTTAGCATTCAAAGAAGTAACTTTTCAGCTTGTTGATTTATTCTCCTCTGTTGCTTTTCTGTTCTCTATTTTTTTAATTTTCCGCTCTAAACATGACTGTTTCCCTCCTGTTTGCTTTAAGTTTAGCTTGCTCATCTCTTTCTAGTGTTTCAGGTAGAAGATTAGACTATTTATTTGAGAATGTTTTTATGACAGGCGTTTACAGCTGTAAATATTTCTTTAAACATAGCTTTCATAACATTTCATAAATTTCTGTATGTTGTATTTTCCTTTTCATTCATCTCAAAGTATTTTCTAATTTTTCTGTGATTTTTCCATTGGTTATTTAGGAGTATGTTTGATTTCACATATTTACAACTTCTCAAATGCCTATTACTAATTTTGAATTTCATTGCCTGTTAATTGAAGAGAGCTTTCCGTGATTTCAGGTTTTTTTCCTTCAATTTATTGAGGCTGGGTTTATGGCCGAGCATATAGTCTATCCTGGAGAACGTCTCGTGTTGTTGAGAAGAGAGTGTATTCTTGCTGTTGTTGGGTGGAATGTTTTCTAGAGGTATTGTCAGTTCCACCTGGTTTATACATTGTCCTGTTTCCTCATAGATCTTTGTTTATCTTCATGTGCTCTACCTGTAAGGTTTGTACAGTTATCATCCCATTTTGCAGGTGAGGAAGCTTGCTTAGGATCAGAGTCAGGGCCAAGGTCTGAGCATAGGCTTGTCAGGCTTAGAGGCCATGAGAAATAATTGATACAGCTTTTGTGTCACTTTATATATTAGAAAAAAGCACTCTTTCAAGCTTTACCCTCTTTCAAAATAATTTCATGTTGTAAAACATTATTTTCAATGTTAAACTATTTGAGCCATCCAACTAGCATAGCCCACTCTCTTTGGTGAGCCTGGAATCACTTTTTATTGATTTTTATAAGGTGGAGCTAGTGGTAAAGAACCCATCTGGCAATACAGGAGACATAAGAGACGCGAGTTTGATCCCAGGGTCAGGAAGGTCCCCTGGAGGAGGGCGAGGCACCCCACTCCAGTGTTCCTGCCTGGAGAATCCCATGGACGGAGGAGCCTGCGGGCTGCAGTCCAGGGGGTTGCAAAGCCTGACACGACTGAAGCAACTTAGCATGCATGTGTTATTAGAAATTATACTGTTTTTTATAGACCAACTATTGATATTACCCTGACATTCTCATTT